CACTTGCTGCTCAGGCAGAGGATCTGGTTTAGGTTTTCTGTTCCCACATCAGATAGCTCACAACTGCTTGTGACTCCAGCTCCATTGGATCAGATGCCTAATTCTGGCTCCTGATGGCACCTGTACATGCATGGTGACCATGCAATCAATGCACCCATATACACAAGAAATAAAAAGAAGAGGAGTGAATAAGGAAGAAAGGGAAGAATAGAGGGAGGGAGGGAGGGAGGGAGGGAAGGAGGAAGGAATGATGATAGAAACCATGGATTTGTATGTTTTATACTCTGAGTCTCCTTTAAAGTATGGATAAGACATGTGTCTTTAATAATTCCAACAACAGGAAATATAGCCTCAGAAATGCACCTGAAGCTTAACTTGCAGGAACATTTCTCCTTTCAAATATAGCATGATGATTCTTACCTAAAATCTCAGCACCAGGATGCTAAAGCAGGAGGACCTCTGTTAAGTTTAAGACCAACATGATGAACGTAATGAATTCCAGTCTACTCTGGCCAGAGATCCAATACCAAACACAAATCAAATGGAACTCACCCATTGGTGGATCTTGATAGTCAAGAAGCAAAGACAGTCACGCTTTCAGCAAGCTCTCAATTTGCTTCATTTATGCTAGGGACATCCTTGGACTATTCTGTTTCTTTGGGTTCAGTCCCCAGGTTTCTGTGCCTTTGGTAGCCATTGCACTTTGAGCTCCTGGCTTACACAACATCTCCTATGAGAATTTACCTTCTCTCTACTGTGATTATGCCCCTGCTGGATTCTTTTGTTTGTCAAACCTTTCTCTGGCCCAACTCCCTAATGAGTTCCCACTAGGAGGGGCTCAGGGCAGAGTCACATTTGCTTTGGGTATCCATATTGCCTATTTGTAGGGAGGTGGAGGATGACGGGCATGGGCAAAAGGGGTGGGATTAACATATGGTGTTAATCTGCTGATTACAAGCAAGACTATCTCAGAAAAGACATAAGATTTCATCAAAGTACATAATAGCTTTCCATGAAAAC